ACATACAACACCCCCTCCAAAAAAACTAAAATCTAAACTTACCTTTCTTTTGTATGAATTTAGAAATCCCTTTGTAAATACTGTGCAATACTGCTGTATACTCCCAGCATTCCTTTTACAGAACACAAGACACTCTGCAGTACTTTTATATTCTACCACTACACACAGACCACCAAAACTACCAGAAGTATTCTGACTTATTATTAGCATTTATAGCTCCAACATATTCCGCAGCGCTTTACAATTACAGAATAAAGAGAGCGCAAAACCAGTAATGAACATACAGAATATAACAGAGACAAGAGGTGAGGGCCCTGCTCAAAGCAGCTCACGGTCTATGACGTAGAAAACAAATGGCAATTAAGAACAATAAACAAACAGTGTTTGTTTTCTTGGATAATTCAGCAACGACGTTATGTAATACAACTCTTACTATGCTCAAAGCCATGGGTTTCTGGGATCTATAGTCCATTGCAGGTGGTGGTCACAGGGACTTCTGGCTGGGTAGTAACGCGCTGAAAGGGTTAAGTATAGTAAGCAGATTTTTAGGAAACTTTCAGCACTTTTATGAGGCTGTTGCCATGCAACCTAGGAATAGTTTCATCAAATCAAAAACCACCAGATTTTAAAATAAAAATAAAAAATACGCAGATGTCCAACGGCGAGTGTGCCAACAGCAGCCTGACACAGGACCCGCGCCTTGGGCAAGAAGGTCTAAAAGCAGATTGTTTTAATCCTGCTGCCAATCTGCCAGTCCGCTTCAAATAAGATGATCCTGTCTGAGAAGGGGAGACTTAGCCGACGAAGGGACAAAATCCCGGGCTTGGGGCCAAAACCAGTTAATTTGGTGAAATTCTCAGGACTATGATTTGTTCTGTAAGAAATTAGACCCTGGATCATGTTATATTCTATGGCCCTGCTCTCTTAATTAAACAGGATGTTCCCCATAATTAAAAATATACATTCTCTGTTTCCGTGTTATATACATTCTGTTGCCGTGTTATATCTGGTTATATACATTCTCTGTTACCGTGTTATATACATTCTCTGTTGCCGTGTTATATCTGGTTATATACATTTTGTTACCGTGTTATATCTGGTTATATACATTCTGTTACCGTGTTATATACACTCTGTTACCGTGTTATATCTGGTTATATACATTCTCTGTTACCGTGTTATATCTGGTTATATACATTCTCTGTTGCCGTGTTATATCTGGTTATATACATTTTGTTACCGTGTTATATCTGGTTATATACATTCTGTTACCGTGTTATATACACTCTGTTACCGTGTTATATCTGGTTATATACATTCTCTGTTACCGTGTTATATCTGGTTATATACATTCTCTGTTGCCGTGTTATATCTGGTTATATACATTCTGTTACCGTGTTATATCTGGTTATATACATTCTCTGTTACCGTGTTATATCTGGTTATATACATTCTGTTACCGTGTTATATATGGTTATATATATTCTGTTACCGTGTTATATCTGGTTATATACATTCTGTTACCGTGTTATATCTGGTTATATACATTCTCTGTTGCCGTGTTATATCTGGTTATATACATTCTGTTACCGTGTTATATCTGGTTATATACATTCTGTTACCGTGTTATATCTGGTTATATACATTCTGTTACCGTGTTATATCTGGTTATATACATTCTCTGTTACCGTGTTATATCTGGTTATATACATTCTGTTACCGTGTTATATCTGGTTATATACATTCTGTTACCGTGTTATATCTGGTTATATACATTCTGTTACCGTGTTATATCTGGTTATATATATTCTGTTACCGTGTTATATCTGGTTATATACATTCTGTTACCGTGTTATATCTGGTTATATACATTCTCTGTTACCGTGTTATATCTGGTTATATACATTCTCTGTTACCGTGTTATATCTGGTTATATACATTCTGTTACCGTGTTATATCTGGTTATATACATTCTCTGTTACCGTGTTATATCTGGTTATATACATTCTGTTACCGTGTTATATCTGGTTATATACATCTCTGTTACCGTGTTATATCTGGTTATATACATTCTGTTACCGTGTTATATCTGGTTATATACATTCTGTTACCGTGTTATATCTGGTTAAATACATTCTCTGTTACCGTGTTATATCTGGTTATATACATTCTCTGTTACCGTGTTATATCTGGTTATATACATTCTGTTACCGTGTTATATCTGGTTATACACATTCTGTTACCGTGTTATATCTGGTTATATGCATTCTCTGTTACCGTGTTATATCTGGTTATATACATTCTGTTACCGTGTTATATCTGGTTATATACATTCTGTTACCGTGTTATATCTGGTTATATACATTCTGTTACCGTGTTATATCTGGTTATATACATTCTGTTACCGTGTTATATCTGGTTATATACATTCTCTGTTGCCGTGTTATATCTGGTTATATACATTCTCTGTTACCGTGTTATATCTGGTTATATACATTCTGTTACCGTGTTATATCTGGTTATATACATTCTGTTGCCGTGTTATATCTGGTTATATACATTCTGTTGCCGTGTTATATCTGGTTATATACATTCTGTTGCCGTGTTATATCTGGTTATATACATTCTGTTACCGTGTTATATCTGGTTATATACATTCTGTTTCCGTGTTATATCTGGTTATATACATTCTGTTACCGTGTTATATCTGGTTATATACATTCTGT